AGGGGAGGATAAAAAGGGGACTGTGAGGTTGGGGGTTCTTTTGTGTGGGGGAGGGGGAGGAGGGTGGTTGTGGTTTGGGGGGTTATTATGTATGTGAGTGTATGGAGTGTAGTATTGTGAGTTTGTGAATTTATGTGAGTATGAGTATATATGTGAGTACGAGAACAAGTGTGACTATGAGTGTGAGTTTGAGTGAGTATGTATATATTGTGAGTACGAGACAAGTTGACTATGAGTGTGAGTTTGAGTGAGTATGAGTGTGAGTATTTGTGAGTATGAGTATGAATGTGAGTGTAAGTGTGAGTATGGATGTACGTGTGCGTGTGTGTCTGTATGTAAACTTCATTTATCTCTCCGCCATCATTTATTATCATAATTGGTGGCTTTACACTGTAAAATGTACGACCTATATAAAGTGTGTTTAGGGGTACTTATTCTAGCTAAATACATAGTACAATGATCCTTACGTATTGTACAAGAAAGGTTTCTATTGTTTGTCATTGTCTAAGTTCATTTGTCTTTGTTTCTGTCTCTTTCTTTGTCTTTTTTGTCTTCTTAATCTCTTTATCTCTTTCGTTAATGTCTTTCTTTTTATTCATGTATTACCTCCATCTCCTCTTTCTCTCTATCTATTAATACTTCCACCTGTGTCTATCTATTTATCTATCTATCTGTAGTATGTACCTGTTAATACCAGATTAATAAATTGCAAAAAAAAAAAAAAAAAAAAAAAAAAAAAAAAAAAAAAAAAAAAAAACTACGGGTGTACACATTGCAGAATAATCTCTCGTGAACACGTTAATAATATTATCAAAATCATAAGAAAAAAAATAAGCTTGACATTAGTGATTCCAAAACAACAACAACAATGACAGCAAAACAACTACAAACAATAATAATGATACCAAAAGGACACACAGTACTAAAAATAACTGCCAAATAACAATTATAAAACCACAAGCAACTACAACAACAATGACTATAACCCCACAAACGACATACTAAAAATAACTGCCAAATAACAATCATAAAACCACAATGACTATAACCACAACAATAATCATAAAAATTATCTTCATTATCACAAATACACACAAAAAATACAAACAAACAGAACATACCATATCAAATACACACAAAACAATCACGACAACAACTTCACCTATTACAACAATAAACTAACAACAACAACAAGTCACATAAGCAAAAAACAAACAAACACAGTTTACAACATCCTGCTTCATCCTACGTTGAAGAATGAACCATTTTTAGGCCTAAGCTTATAAATTCATTAGCTAAGGCCTATAGAGCAACCCAACCCACGACGATGACTCAGCAACAACAGTGATTGTAACAACTACAACAATGTCAAAACTGTAAGTGTGATTCTAACAATTACATTAACGTCAGTAATACAACAACAGTGACTAACAACTACAATCATAAAAATACAACACTGATTCTAACAACTACAACATCAATACTATAACAATAACAAGGTCTAACAACTTCAGTGATGTCAAAACTACAACAGGGACTCTAACGTCTATAATAACTTCAAAATTACAACGAACCTGAATCTAACAACTACAATATCAAAAATACAACAGCAACAGTGAGAAATAATCACAACTACAGTAATTCTAGCACCTACAACAACATCAAAAGTATAACAACAACAGCGATTATACAACCCTCAACATCATAACAATCACAACATCAACACAACAATAATAACAATAATATAGAAACAATACCGTCAAAACTGCGTCTTCATCACTACTACATCACAAATACAACATACAACCCTGATACAAAAACAAAAATACCAACAAATGATAATTAAAATAAAGAAAAACCTTAATAACAACAAAAATAACAATAAAAATATATATAACACCGTAATAATAAACATCATCAAACTCATATCTTTCCTTGTCCATATTTGCTTCCCTGTATAATTGTCTCATCACGTCACCTCACTTTCATTTGCTTCCCTGGAAAAATGCCTCACTTCAGATTCTCACTTTACTCGCTTTCCTCGCTTCATTCTTACTTCATTTGCTTTCCACCTTCGTCTCTTCACTTCCATTTGCCTTTCCTGCGAGAATTACCTCACTCATCTCCACTTCGTTTTTCCTGATTCATTGCCTACTCACCTCACTCATTTGCTTCGCCTATATTAATTACCTCACCTCAAACCTCACTTCATTTATTTCCCTTGTTAACTGCCTCACTTTCTGTCCCTTCCACTTCATTTGCTTCCGCTGTTCTATTGCCTCACCACAAACCTCATTCACTCGCTTCCCATTCACGTATTTTGCTTTCCTGATTAATTGCCTCACTCATTTCTTCATCTCACTTCATCTCGCTTTTCCCGCATTAATTGCCTCATCATCTCACTTCACTCGCTTCCTACGATTAACTGCCTCACCTCAAACCTCACTTCACTCGCTTCCCTACATAACTGCCTCACCTCAAACCTCACTTCACTCGCTTCCCTACATAACTGCCTCACCTCAAAACCTCACTTCACTCGCTCCCTAACATAACTCCTCACCTCAAACCTCCACTTCACTCGCTTTCCTGATTAACTGACTTCACCTTCAAACTCACTTTCACTTCGCTTTCCTTTGATTAACTGACTCACCTCAAACCTCCACTTCACTCGCTTTCCTGATTAACTGACTCACCTCAAACCTTCACTTCACTCGCATTTCCTGAATTAACTGACTCACCTCAAACCTTCACTTTCACTCGCTTTCCCTGATTAACTGACTCACCTCAAACCCTCCACTTCACTCGCTTTCCCTTACATAACTGGCCTCACCTCCAAACCTTCATTTCACTGCTTTCCTGATTAACTGTCCTCACCTCAAACCTCACTTCATTTCTGTTTCCCTTGTTAATTGGACTCACCTCAAACACTCACTTCACTCATAAATTGCCTTCCCTTCACTCACTTAACTGCCTCACCTCAAAAACCTCACTTCACTCGCTTCCCTTACATAACTGCCTCACCTCAAACCTTCACTTCACTCGCTTCCCTACCATAACTGCCTCCACCTCAAACCTCACTTCACTCGCTCTTCCCTACATAACTAGCCTGCCTTTTCACCTCAACCTCACTTCACTCGCTTTTCTGATTAACTGACTTCACCTCAAACCTCACTTCACTGCGCTTTCCTGATTAACTGACTCACCTCAAACCTCATTCACTCGCTTTCTACTGATTAACTGCCTCACCTCAAACCTCACTTCACTCGCTTTCCTGATTAACTGCCTCACCTCAAAAACCCTTTCCCCACTTTCACTCGCTTTCCGATTAACTGCCTCACCTCAAACCTCACTTCACTCGCTCATAACCCTCACCTCAACCTCATTTCACTCGCTTCCTGATTAACTGTTCTTCACCTCAAAACCTCACTTCATTTGTTTCCCTTGTTAATTGACTCACTCAAACCTCACTTCACTCGCTTTCCCTACATAACTGCCTCACCTCAAACCTCACTTCACTCGCTTCCCTACATAACTGCCTCACCTCAAACCTCACTTCACTCGCTTCCCTACATAACTGCCTCACCTCAACCTCACTTCACTCGCTTCCCTACAAAACTGCTCACCTCAACTCACTTCACTCGCTTTCCTGATTAACTGCCTCACCTCAAACCTCACTTCACTCGCTTTCCTGATTAACTGACTCACCTCAAACTCACTTCACTCGCTTTCCTGATTAACTGAACCTCAAACCTCACTTCACTCGCTTTCCTGATTAACTGACTCACCTCAAACCCACTTCACTCGCTTTCCTGATTAACTGGCCTCGCCTCAAACCTCACTTCACTCGCTTCCCTACATAACTGCCTCACCTTCAAACCTCATTTCACTCGCTCATTACCTCACCTCAACCTCACTTCGCTTCCCTGATTTGCCTCACCTCAAACCTCACTTCACTCGCTTTCCCTACATAACTGCCTCACCTCAAACTCACTTCACTCACTTCTCAAACCTCACTTCACTTCGCTTCCCTACATAACTGCCTCACCTCAAAACCTTCACTTCACTTCGCTTCCCTACATAACTGCCTCACCTCAAACATCACTCACTCGCTTCCCTACATAAACTGCCTCACCTCAAACCTCACTTCACTCGCTCCCTTACATAACTGCCTCACCACAACCTCACTTCATGCGCTTTCCTACATAACTGCCTCACCACAAACCTCACTTCACTCGCTTCCCTACATAACTGTCCTCACAAAACCTCACTTCACTCGCTTCCCTACATAACTGCCTCACCACAAACCTCCCTTCACTCGCTTTCCTAATTCATTGCCCCACTCATCTCACTTTCACTCACTTCCCTACATAACTGCCTCACCACAAACCTTCATTCACTCGCTTCCCTACATAACTGCCTCACCACAAAACCTCACTTCACTCGCTTTCCTAATTCATTGCCCCCACT